GGGGGGGGGGGGTGTAATTTTATTTCCAGTGGCCAGCAGAGGGTGGCCCTGCTCTGATCGTTGCCTCTAGGCCGTAAGCTCACAAGGCCAAACAAGGGGAGGGAACCCATATGGCTCAGTGCTCAATGGTTCCAAGTGCAAGAGGTGACCTTGGGGACGTGGAACAGGAAGGCAGGCTGTGCCCCAGGCTGCTCCTCACCTCTAGCTCACTTTCCTCGTGGAAGCCTTGAAGTTTTTTTAATTCCAGGTTGAGCTTTTTCATCCTTTCCTCATAAGCCATGATTTCATCTTCCAGCTGAGCTTTCCTATCTTGGGCCTGTGTCAAGCTTCGGTTCAGGGACTTGTTCTCTGAGATTGCATGATTGAGCTTTAGGTAAAGATAAAGTGGATGAGAGTGGCTCTCACAGCCCTTTGGCCCTCTCTGCTGAGCCCTGAATGGAGAAGGGTTCCAATCTCTCCCTGCCCCCCAGGGCGGCAAAGACACACTGTCAATTTCCTAGTGTCCCAGGGAGGGTGGGAAGTGACAGTTGTTGGTTTTCTGCATCCCCACATTCCCTCCTGTTTCCTCTCCTTTCAGTCCTGTGAACTGATCAGCCAGATGTGATCAGCACAGGGATGGGGCCTCAATTTCCGTGATAATCCAGGCTTTGGAAAGGCCTTGCCCTGGATTACCCATGGGCAGAAAGATCTGTTAGATCTGGTCTCCATCTTGTTCCCCTCAGCCCTTCCCAAAACTAAGAAGCAGCAGGCCTCTGGATGGACATGCCCACTTGTGCCAGGTTTGCAAACAGCCTTGGGGACAGTCAGTAGTGTAGGAAATTGACTCCTATGTCTGCCCCGCCGCTAGGACAGTTCTTTGCCCCCAAACAGCCCTGGAGATACAGGGTGTGGCCCACCTTCTCGAGAGCTTGTGTCAGGTCGTCTTGGCAGGTAACTGACTTCCGGGACAATTCATCGTAGACTTCTTTACTGACCATGGTCTGCAGACACTTCTTCTCTTTCTGCACAGCCCTGTCTAGCTGGGCCTGCAGACTTGCTAAGGCCTCCTTCTGATGGGCTACCTTTAGGAAGGAGGAATATCACCGTCAAGGTTGGTGGCTTTACAGGCATCTCTGTGTCTACAGGAAACAGACAAGCACCGGGCTCTCTTCTCTCTGCACTAACCTGCGGAGCAGTGCGTGATAATGCCCTATCTCCACCTCATTGTTGTAAGAGGAAGAACTGCCTTTCTAGACTCTTCTGCACCCCTCTCCCCAGTCTCCCTTCTAGTTAGCATGTCTCCCAATACAAGGCCTACTATAGGTTCTGGGCCATGATGTGTCGAGTACATGAAGAGTCCCTTTCGCAGACTCTGCAGCCTTTGGTAAAGATCTAGAATCTAATTCTAGGATGGGAGACATGATACAATATCTCAGTCGTGTGCATGATGCCTCACTTTGTTCCTGGCATAATTCGCCAGACTTGCTGCACCAGGAAAGTAGGGCTGTGCGTGCTTTCTTCATTGCTATATCTCATCACTTAGAGCTCAGGGCATGGCATGTAATAGAGGCTCAGCAAACAGTAAATATTTTTTTTTGGACTGAGTAAAATATTGCATTGGACGATGTTTGGAATTAGAAATGCACTGAACACACAGTTCTGGCAGAAGTATATTTAAAAACTGAAGCCCGTGTCTTAAACTTAGCCTTGAGTGTTCGCACTAGTTACAAGGAATTGAGATTCAGAATTAGAGGATCTGTGTTGAGGTCCTGGTTCTATCATTTATTTAATCTTTTGGAGTCTCAGTTTCTTTTTCTGCAAATCAGGATACTTTCTACTGCTTCATAGAGTTTTTGTGATGATCAAATGAGATGTAAATAGGGCTTTGTAAAGTATAAATATTATATAGCTGTGAGTTATGGTCATGAAGATGCTAAGTAACTAGCCATCTTCTGTACTTTAAGGACAGGACAGAGATCTACATCTAAGTCTGGAAGCAGGTAGAAGACTTCAGAAATTCACATGCCTGTTTTTTGGTATTCGAGCACACCTGCGTTCTCCATGTGGCCACACACCCAGGAACATATTCTTTTGGGTTTTTCAAATGGAATTTTGAGTATCTTTGACCTTAGGAGTTAGTGCCCCTCTATTTACATGTCTGGGGAGTGAACCTAATCCTAAAGATGGAATAATTTGGTCTTCTGCAACTGAAAGTACAATGTTTCTGGAGACTTTGGAAAAACATGGAATCAACTGGGTCTGCACAGTAAACCAGGGGAGTCACTGGAGAAATTACAATTCACCGTAAGCTCTTGATAATTGGTGGCTGAATCGAGAAATGTCACCATAGAGGCGAGACACTAAAAATAAAGGTGGTAAAAACATCACAATGATGCTAGATGCTAAAATGGAAGCTTTATCTTAAATTTCTCTAACATATATACATGGATACACATATATATAAATTACAGAATCAAGGAGTTTTAGTAAAAGTTCTCATAAAGATCTACTCTCTCCTTGCCAAAGGCATTAGACCTAGATGGTTTAGAAGGTGAGTTCCACTAAGTCTACCTTGATTCCTCACTTTCTCTCACATTCCTTCTGTCAGTTAGTCTGGTTAATGCAACTGACAAGACACATCCTGAATTTGCTAGTTTCTGTCTTCACTGACACCCCTCTAGTTTAGAGAGCAATAGCCTCCCAAATGGTTTCCTCACTCCCATAACGACTCTTCTCCCCAACCGATTTCCACACATTAGTCGAAGTTACATTTTGAAAATTTAAATCAGATCAAATCACCTCCCCTGCCCCTTGAGGAAATTTCATCAGTGTCTATCAATTGTTCTTAGAATGCAACTCCTAATTTCTTTTAACAGAGGCCAAAAGTCTGCCCCTACCTATCTTTCTAGTTGCATCTTATACTAATATCCTTTTTTTTTTTAAAAAATATATCTTTATTGATTTTAGAGAGAGGAAAGGAGAGGAAGAGAGAGAGAGAAACATCAATGATGAGTCATTGATCAAGCCCACAACCTGGGCATGTGCCCTGACCAGGAATCGAACCCCAATCACCTGGATCCTAGGTCGAAGCTCAACCGCTGAACCACGCCTGGCCGGGCACTAATATCCTTCTTGATTACTACATTATAGTCATACTGGCCTGACTTCACTTCTTAGAACATTCCAAAGAGCAACCGAAAGAGTGATACATGATACAAAGTCAGGACTTATGCTTGGAATGCAAGGATGGGCCCAAATTAGGATCAATTCATTAATTTTATTTACTACATTGCTTTTACTTCCACATATCCTACTGAAACATGAATTCCATTAATTCATGTAGGTGCTGTCTAATGCAATAAGGCAAGAAAAATGAAAAACATATATTACAAAGGTTTAGAAAATTGTTGCTTGCAAATGATCTAACCATAACCTAGAAAATCCATGGGAAGCAAAGTACTGCTTATAAGTGCATTTAATAAGATGTCCAAACACAGAATAAATATGAAAATAAATTATCTTTCTTATTATTAATAATGAATTATAAACTATGGTAGAAATATGTCCTAGAATCAGAGATGGAGAGGATCTCTATATATATTGCCTTGACTTCAGATGGGAAATTTTAAAATTGAGAATATTGATGAGAGAAAAATGCATTTTAGAATGCATAACTAAGTCTCCTTCTAATGGCTATTTCAATTGATTCAAAAGTCTACCATACTTGGGACATTAATTAATTAATTTATTTAAATCCTCACCCAAGGATACTTTTTCCATTGCTTTTCAGAGACAGTAGGAGAGAGAAAGTGATAGAGAGAGAAACATCAATGAGAAAGACACATCAATTGGTTGCCTCCTGCACTTGCCCTGACCAGGGCCAGGGATTGAGCCTGCAACTGAGGTACATGCCCTTGGCTGGAACTGAACCTGGGACCCTTCAGTCTGCAGTCCAATGCTCTAACCACTCAGCCAAACCGGCTAGGGCTTGGGGCATACTTTTAAAAAGTGAAACATGCTTACACACACATAAAACCCTCTAGCCTCCCAATTCCCACCAAAAGAATTCTGAAATTAGTGCTTTTACTTCCACATTTACATGACTGTCTGGTCTTTTGGCAAATGTAATGACTGGCCCATATTAAATAATTAGGTAGTATCCCTTATTTACAGAAAGGTTCCTTGGGGATCTGAGTGACCTAGAACTCACTCTGGATCACAGTAAAGGAGAGGTTTATATTTCTGGAGGGAAAGACTCCAGAAACCTGAGTTTCTATGCTGTCTAGTATGGTCGACACTAGCCACATGAGGCTATTTATAATTAAATAAAACTAAAATTAGTTGCTATTAAAACAATCAGTTCAGTTCCTTAGTCACACTAAGCCATATTCCAAGCACTCAATATCCACATGAGGCTAGTGGATATAGTGCTAGACAGCTGTCATATAGAACTTTTCCATCCTTGCAGAAAGTTCTATGGGGCAGCGCTGTTCTTACACTTATAATAGTCATTGTATTTTAAGATTAACTTTAAAAAATATATTGTAAAGGAATCTGAGCTGCTGGTCCCTCATTTGTAACCCAAGAGACCACCAATTAAGACGCCCTTACTGTTTCTTGACCAGAAAGATGGAATGTGTTCTACTAGGGAAAGTACTGCCATTCGGGATGAAGGGAAGAAAAGTTAAATGTTAGACTCAGACGATCCAGGTGCCAATACTGGTCCATCCCATCACTTACTAATTAGTCACTTTAGGCCTCAGCTTTTCTTTTTCTTGTAAACTGAGGATCATAGTAATGTATGTCTTGTTGGGAGTAAAGCAGAAGGAAGGCATGTAAAGGACTTAAGTAGACAATCAGTAAGTGATTCCTGAGCTCAAGCACCATGCCTTGCACATGCTAGATGCTGTTTCCTGCTTTCTGTCATCTTTATCTCTGTGAAGAAAAAGAGTCATTTCCCTTTCCATCCCCTTTTTGTGCTTTGGTATTATTTTTTTTAACTTTAAAAATTTTTTAATTTTTATTTTTGTATATGTTTTTATTGATTTCAGAGAGAGGAAGGGAGAGGGAGAGAGAGAGATAGAAACATCAATTATGAGAGTTATTGATTGGCTGCCTCCTGCATGCCCCCCGCTGGGGATTGAGCCCGCAGCCCAGGCATGTGTCCTGACCGGGAATCAAACCTCGATCTCCTGGATCCTAGGTCGATGTTCAACCTCTGAGCCACGCCGGCCAGGCTGGTATTATTCTTGAAAGTGTTCCCTAGCAAATTGCCCCAAACATTGGATTCACTCCACTCTGGTCTCAAATGCAACACCGGAGGACTTGATGCTAAAGCCCAGAAAGTCCGGGAGCTCCACCCGACATTTTAAAATAAGGCCTTCCACACATGGAAGAAGCATTTCTCTGGCCGAGGGGCTGGGCACTAAAGGGGTACCTCCTTCAAGGAGGAAAGTGGAGCCGCAGGTACCACAGGATGCACGTGGGCCCAGCAGTTAGCTGCATTTCTGTGGTGGAGGAGAGCTAGGAGCTGATGTCAGGTCAGGGGACGCGGGTTCGAGGTTCTACCCCTTGGGCTCTCTGCCCCTCACCTCGTTATTTAGCTCCTGGATGACTTTCTGGGAGGAGGTCTGCCTGCAGTGAGAGGAGTCCAGCTGGGCGGAACACTGCCTGACCTGGGCCTTGAGGGTCTCGTTCTCCTCCTCCAACTTCCGCAAGGTCTCTTTGGACTGTTCCCCAATTAAAGAACAAAGACCAGAAGGAGGTGTTAGCCTGAGGCCCCTACAGAACCCCACCCCTTTCCATTACCACAGCCCCTTCCGCACCCTGTGGTGTTGAGGCCTCCC